GTGGTCAGGGCAGGAACTGTCAGTGGCGGCGGCGATGGTCGAGTCATCCACGTATTTCCAGCGATGCTCGGTGTCCAGGAGCGCGTCGTTAAATATGATAAGGAAGCATAGGGGCTCCATTCCAGTCCCCTGGGGGACTCCGCACGTGAGTGGTAAGAGGTTGGAAACTTGACCCTGCACGCGCACGGCCTGTTGGGGAGAAAGTCTGCTAGCCAGGGGATGAAGCACTCCCTGATGCCCGTGGAAGCTGCTGCTTTTAAGGTGACCGTGGTGTGGTGCACCAGGTCGAAGGCTGTCTTGAAAGCTATGAAGATGCTGGTGACGGAGGATTTACGCTTGTCGAGCTGAACGTGGACGAAGTCGGGGAAGCTGACGAGGCAGTGCATGGTAGAGGAGGAGAGCATGTTGCCGAACTGCCGAGGATCAGTGTTGGGCGCAAGGTCCTTGTAGGCCCAGTCGGCCGCAAAGCTTTCACACATCAGGTTGGACAACGGAGTAATGGCGGTGACAAATGCGGTCTTCCATTGTGGTGGGCACTTAGATTGTTGCAGTGAGGCGTTAATTATGGAGATAAGAGGAGTGGCAAGTTCCATTGCGAACTCGTTGATGAGGCGCATGGGCAGGTCAAGGGGGGTGGCGGCTCTCTTGACGCGGATTTTTTCCAGTTCCTGAAGCACCTGGAACTGGCTGACTGTTGGAGTAAGTGAGCAGGCCGGCAGGTAGGCGGGGAGGCGGGTGGTGTCCAAGGGGGGGTAGCTGCTGGGAAATCGAGGCGAAGTGGTCATTAGAGCATCTGCTGCTTCACCGGGGCTGAGGTTGCTGGTGCATGGGAAAGTGCACGGCCTAATTGCAAGGCACAGATCCCGAACTTTCCCGTACCATTGGCTAGGCTGCAGGTGTTGTAGTTTATCGTGGTAGAAGGTCTTCTTGGCTGTTTTTATTTCCCTGGTGACTGTGATGTGGAGTGATTTGTAGGCGGTGATGTGCGAGTGGAAGGCTTGATTTCTTTGTTGAGAAATCTGTGTTTGTGTGTGTATTTTATTTATTCATATACTGCACGCACACATATATATTAATGATAGAGATCCTCTCTATTTGTTTTCGTGTTTTTTTTTTTTCATTTCATACATTTTCTCCTCAAATCTATAGGTCTTCATTTAGCCTATTCCCAAACACAGCTGTAACTTCACACTCCATCCCTCAGACGTGAGCCTCCAGGACCTCCAACTTAGCGACCTCAAGTTCGAGGTCATAGCGAGGAGAAGCGGTCATCTGCTGAATAAGCCCGTAGCCGACCTCCTCGTGCCCTTGAGCAAGGTCAAACTCGAGGCGGATAAACCAGTCACAGCCTTGGAGCCTTTGTGCCTGAGGAAGAAGGTAATTTTTGTCATTTTTGTTTTTGCTTTTTATGTTGAGATTTGGTGGATGTGCGTTTAGGTGTGTCTTTGTCACTGTGTTTTTTAGTCTTGTGTGTGGAATTTTGTTGTTGTTGTTTTGTTGGTGTGTGTTATGCACGTTTATGTGTTCTTATTTTTATGTTTGCGTGTCATCTTGTTTGCGTGTGTGTATGGTTTGTTTGCACTCTTATTAATATTTGCGTAGTTTTGAAGTCTTGTTTATGCCAGCGCGTTTGTTTTTACTGTTTACGTGTTTTTATATGTGCTTTTTGCGGTTTGTGCTTGTTTCCCAATGTTTTTGGTGCCGCATTTGCTTCTTGTTTGTTTGTGTGTGGTTTTGTTTAGTTGTTCTCAGTTTAATTTTGTTTGTGTTATGCGTCGGACATTCTTCCTTTCGATGTACTTGTTTCTGTCCTTATAATGAGTCTTTGTTTGTGTATGATTTGATTAGTGAATTATTATTCTCTTTGGATCGTGAATTATTTATTGTTAAAAAAACACATAGTTACATATGACAAAAAAAATCTCATAGCATTTAAGCATTCACTAATCTCACTCTCACACCCCACTTACCCCCAACCATACCCCAACCCACCCACCCAACCACACCTACTGAATCCCCCCCCCCCCCGGCCCCAATCAACCCATATACCCACTCAACCCCCCTCCCCTCCTCCCATCTCCCCCACCTCACACCTCGAGCTCATACCCCTACTTCTACCCCCTCCACCCATCTTCCCCCTCCACCCCTCCACCCCTCCTCCCCTCCACCCCTCCTCCCCTCCACCCCTCCACCTCTCCACCCCTCCACCCCTCCACCCCCCAGGACGCAGCTCCAGACCGGAACGGGCGAAGAGCCTCGGATGCGAACTGGGGCGAAATCCAGGTCCTGGCCCAGTACAAGGAGACCGGGAGCTCGCAGGGAAGGGTCAAGGTCGTGGTTCTGAAGGCGCAGAGCACGGTGGTCAGCGCCAAGGTGAGTGGTAAGAATGGGAATGATGATGGTGATGGTGATAGTGATGGTGAGGGTGATAGTGATAGCGAAGGTGATGGTGGTGATAGTGATAGTGATGGTGATGGTGATGATGATGAGAAGGAGAGTAGGAGGCGGAGGATCCTCATCATAAAAATGATAATAGTAATAACAAAATCATAACAATAATAATAAAAAGAAGAAAATTTAAAAAGAAGGATGATAATAGTGATAATGATATTAATGAAAATGTTACCATTATTCACTAGGATCTGCAACAGCAAAGCCTGATATTATTCCATTACCATCAAATCCCCTCACTGGCAACCCATGACCACTCCACCATAAAACATAATCCATCGCCATCTATCGATAAATTTTCGCCAAATGCTATCGACCAGCCAGCGAACCAACACAACACATCTTCACCAAAAAAACGAAATAATAACACTAATAACAGAGTCTTACGAAGATGTACTATAAAGATCCATGATTAAAAAAAATAATAATAATAAAGACCGTTACAGAAAACCAGAGAAAAAATGGGAGGCTATCGTAAAAATAACTAAAATAATAAGAGACGAAAAAAAAAATTAATAATAGTAATGATATTGTATTATCATTATCGTTATGATCATCAACAATGTTATTATTCCTTCATTTATATAATGATCATTATTATTGTTATGATGATGATGATGATGATGATGATCATCATCATCATCATCATCACCATCACCATCATCATCAACATTATTAAGTTAGAAATAAAGAGAAAAAGGATGATAATGATAATGATGATTGTGATGAAGATGGTGATGATGAGAATAATGGAGCTCGTGATTCTGCGATGGAACCGACATCATTTGTTTGATGTCACTTATAAATACAGATTAAATGTGAAGGAAAACTGCCGATGCGAACTAATAACTCCGCATTACTGGCCACTAACCAATTTTCATTTCCGTAGTTAAGAATAGGAGTAAGCAAAACGCATTCGCTGTCTGGCCATCTCTCTCCTTCTTGTTTTGTCGCGGTGACGTCTGAGGCACATTGTCTTGAAAACTATTTTCACAAAATAACTACAGAGGAAAACACAAATAAAAAGTGAAAAGGTGAAATAAAAGGCATAAAACTAAAAAAACAAAAAAATAGAAGAAAAACAAACAAAAAACAGCGGAAAAGAAACATAACATAATTAAAGAAAGATTAAACAAGCATAAAATGTGTCATCTAGTACTTAAAGTGAAATCGAAGTACAATTAATATTACTCTAAGTGAATCAAAATATTAAGATTAATAACACTAATAACAGAGTCTTACGAAGATGTACTATAAAGATCCATGATTAAAAAAAATAATAATAATAAAGACCGTTACAGAAAACCAGAGAAAAAATGGGAGGCTATCGTAAAAATAACTAAAATAATAAGAGACGAGAAAAAAATATTTAATAATAGTAATGATATTGTATTATTATTATTGTTATTGTTATTAATATTGTTATGATTATAATTATCATTAATGTTTATTGTTATCACCATTAATACCATTATATTTCTAATCATTACTTTTATCATCATCGCTATCATCAATATTATTAATATGCTACCATTATTCACTAGGATCTGCAACAGCAAAGCCTGATATTATTCCATTACCATCAAATCACCTCACTGGCAACCCATGACCACTCCACCATAAAACATAATCCATCGCCATCTATCGATAAATTTTCGCCAAATGCTATCGACCAGCCAGCGAACCAACACGCCAACACATCTTCACCAAAAAACGAAATGATAACACTAATAATAACAATCATCAAACATCCACACAACAACCAACGGTAAACAATAACATCCACTCTCACACCACCAAACATCAACACAACTTCGCCCAAAAAGTAATAATAACACTAATAACAACACCCACTTTGACGCCAGAATTCGGGCGAGTACCACGTGGAAGTGATCATGAGGAGAGGCGAAGAGATCCAGGAAGTGACCACCACAAAAGCGGCGCTCGGACTGAAGCCGGTGTGGAATGCGCCCTTTATCTTTGATGTGTCGCAGGAGAAGGTGGGTGGAAGGAAGGCTGGTTGGGTGCTTGTATGTGTGTGTGTGGGAGGGGCTGAGTGGGTGGGAGGGAGTGGGAGTTGGGAGAGTGGGGGAAGGAGTGGGAGTTGGGAGAGTGGGGGAAGGAGTGGGAGTTGGGAGAGTGGGGGAAGGAGTGGGAGTTGGGAAAGTTGGGGAGGGAGTGGGGGCGTGTAGGAGGGAGTGTAAGTAAGTGGGTGGAAGGGTGTGTGCGTTTGTATTTATTTCATATTGTTATTTGTTATTGATTTATTTCCATGCTTCATTTTCTAGCTTTTGGATGTGAACTATTATTCTTTATTTGTGTGTTATTTCTCCTGCTTATTTATATTTAATATTTTTCCTCTTTTTCATGAATTTCATGCTACTGAAATTGATATTATCTTTAAAAGAAAAATGTTTTGATGGAATATTTCTTCTGTGTTTTCAATATTTCGCATTGCATGTATTATTGTATGTTTATCTCTCTCTCTCTCTCTCTCTCTCTCTCTCTCTCTCTCTCTCTCTCTCTCTCTCTCTCTCTCTCTCTCTCTCTCTCTCTCTTTATCTATTTAGAAACAAGAACTATAGCAAGTGCCACCCTCTTACTCCACAACGTAATTGACCATTGTTGAAATACATGGAGTCAGTTTAACCATACGCAGATCAAGGATAAATATCTCAGTCAGCTCTCAGCTGCCTCTCCTTTTTTTCCTTTTTTTTCCTTGGCCGTATTCTTAAATCACCTCTTCCGTTTTCTTCAATCGCCATTTCCATTTTCTTTCTTAGATTTAATCTACAATCACCTCTCCCATTTCTTCAGTTTTCTTTCCCAGGTTTAACCACCAACCACCTAACCCGTTTTTTCTCAGGTTGAATTTCCCGTTTTCTTTCCTAGGTTTAATCATCAGCCACCTCTCCCGTTTTCTTTCCTAGGTTTAATCATCAGCCACCTCTCCCGTTTTCTTTCCTAGGTTTAATCATCAGCCACCTCTCCCGTTTTCTCTTCCAGATAAACGAGCACTGGATAGAGCTGAACCTGGTACGGCTGGGATGGACCAAGAGGAAGGCGACCCTCGGCCAAGCCTTCCTCGGTCTGGGCACGACGCCAAGGGGCTCCCAGCACTGGCAGAGTATTGCCGAGTGCCCGGGCCGGGAGGTGACCCTGTGGCACCCGGTGGTTCAAGAGGAGTGACGGAAGGAGGGTGGAGTGAGGGAAGGAGGGTGGAGGGAGGGGGCACGAAGGAAAGGGGGTAGAGGGGGGAGATTAAGGTGGAGTGAGGGAAGGAGGGATGGAGGGAGGGGGCACGAAGGAAAGGGGGTAGAGGGGGGAGAGGAAGGTGGAGTGAGGGAAGGAGGGATGGAGGGAGGGGACACGAAGGAAAGGGGGTAGAGGGGGAAAAGGAGGGAAGGGAATAACTAGGGAGAAGGATGGGAGGAGGGAGGAAAGGGAGAGAAGTGAATAGGGAGGGAGGAGGAAGGAGGAAACGATGGAAAGGAGGGGGGAGAAGAAAAGAGGGAGGGAAGAAAGGAAGGAAGAGGAGGAGGAGGAAAGAGGAAAGATGACAAGGACGGAGGGGAAGGGAGGAGGATGTGGGAAGGAGAGAGGAGGAAGAGGGGTAGGGGGGAAGGGAGTGAAGAGAAAAAGGAGCGAGGGAGTAGATATATCGAGGGTTGGAGGGGGAGGGTAGGAGGGAGAGAAGGTGAAACGTACGAAAGGGAGGGAGCGAGGAATCTGGGAAGGGGGGTGAGGGAGAAAATTAGACAACGGGAGGAAGAGAGGAAGAGATTATGGGAGAGGACTAGAGTAAGGGAGGAAGATGAAATGAGCGATATTAGCGGGGATGAGTGAGTGGGAGATGAAAGGGAGAGATAATGTGAAATATTGAAAAGGCGTGTAGGGGGGAGGGGGCGTAGCAAAGTTTATATACACATTTCATATTTTACTATAACTCGCATAATACTCTGTATTATTATTTTCATAGGTGTAGAGATCAAGTTTATAGTGTATCTCTTAGAGTAAATAATTATATGTTCTTATATACTCTATGAAATAAAGACTATATTATATGGTGAGATATTTTTCGTCCAAATATGGGTGCATGTTTGTATATAAGGAACAGTATATACGATATGTAAATATTGTGTGTGTGTGTACGATAGATTTTATAACAACACATTTTCTGTTTGAAAAAAAAATCCATTTGTATATCAAAAGTTAAATAAAACGATAAAACTAACAAATATAAACTTTATTTGTAGAATTGGCACATTAACCAACTAAAAAAGTCTTATTTGTTTTATTAATCAGTATTATCTTATTTGTACCTATGTTTTCCCTTTAATATTTTGTTGATCTTACCAATCCATTGTTAATCGACTTAATGTTCTTTATGTTACTTTATGTACTAAGTAAAAAACATAGCAATACCATAACTTACATTGTACTTTCTACATTGCGTAGCTTTTAATTGCATAACTTGTGTCTGTGTGCTCTTTAGAATTCATAATCAAATACAAAGTGAAACATGCAATAGGCCATCAATTATATGATACAGAAATAAAAGGTAGTCAAGCATAAACAAGCTACTGATTTTTCACAATGACTGATTCTCCAGTGTTGTTAATGAACTTTTACACAATGATAGCAGCTTTCCCAGTGTCCTGAGTTTTTACACCACGAACAACAGATCCTTCAACATTGTCAATTAACTTTTATTCATACAAAGTCGAAAGTTTTTTTTTCCCTGATGTTTATTAACTTCTACGTCAAAACAACAGATTCTCCAAAGTTGTACTTGTTTCTTTATATAATGACGGCAGTTTTTTTCGATATCAGTTAGCCTTTACAGAATACCAACCGAGTCACATCGATTTCGTCAATAAACTTTTTTCTTAAACAATAACAACAGCCTTTCCGATGTTCTCTCCATGGAACAGCCCGATGAAAGCCTTAGGCATGTTCTCGAAGCCTTGTGTGATTGTCTCTTTGTATTTCATCTTGCCCTGTTCAAAGAAAAAGACATATTATTCTGTGGATTGGTAAGACAACAAAGGAATAAGATTTTCTTAAAATAAGGGTAGTCGAACAAGAAGGGAAAGAGACGGGGAAGAACACTGAAAGAAAAATATCTACTTGGCTTGAAAGACTTGTAAAGTATTCGATGGTGTAAAATATCTATGAATCTCCAGTGTTGGAGATGATTATGTAAAATTAAAATGGATTATATTACATATGGATATTAATCAAGCAGTTCTGTTTTCAGATCTTTTGATATTTATCTTTTCATGTTTCAGAAAATCCTACAACCAACATAAACTTTGATTCATATATGCTGATCATTTAAACACTGGAAATATACTTTCCTTTCTGTTACATTGCCTATACGTGATGCCTGTATTGCTTCCCTTTCCGATTTCTGTCATACTTTTTTTCTGTCCGGTACTAAGGACAAGAATAAACTAATATTTATACCATCATGCCAAGAAACTAACAAACACACCAGTGCATTAGACTAAACCATACTAACTCCCTCTTTGATCAAGCAGGTTACAGTCAGAGAGAATGTAACAAAGGAAAAAAATGACACTGAAATACTTACTAAATATACCAATATGCTTTTGTGAACAAGTCGACTATTCTCTGGAAGATACTCATATATATGCAATCACTCTGAGATTAAAGATATACCAATATACCAAGATACACTCAACCATCCAAGGCAGGGTTTTTAACCTGAGGTCCATGCATGGGTTTCAGAGTCACACTTTTAAAAAATTACATTAACTATTTTTTTGTTTTCCTCATATATATGAGGCAAACAAATCTCAATAAGTCGTGTTTATGTGAATATTTCTAGGGAAGTGGGTTCATAGCTTTTATCAGATTCTAATCTAATCTGATATAATCAATCTATCTATGCTCAGAAAAAATACTTACACATTAATATACGGGCACGAACTAACCTTTCCTGTCAGTTGGAGCATCCACAAAGAAACTTACCTATATTTGTTCAATCAACTGTAACATCCACAGAAACGTACTAACACACATACTAGTAAGTAGATGTACTAACCTCCTGCACCCACTGTTTCATCTGCGTGAGTCCCTCCAGCCAGCGGTTTAGCCAGCGGTTAACCAGGAAACCTTCAACACGCAGTTGTTTGGTGATTAGGAGAGAAGCGTCGTAGGGACCTGTTGGAGAAAGCAGTTCATTGGTAAAGTTGGCTGAGGGATGCACCTGAAATGGTGACTTGGAATATCAAAGCCTGGGCGAATGTAATCTGATGGACTGAATTAACTAAGTTATTTCTGTAATGAGAAGGTTGTAAAATGATCCTTTAATTGTGAAACCAAAAGGGGTTAGTGTGATGTCATCATTATACGTTGTCACATATATGTTGGTACATCCTCATTATAGTTGTAATCAGTATTGCCATCCTCACCATCACTGCCAGGATATAAAATCAGTATCATCACAATTCGTTACTTTTACTTTTAACTTAAAAAATTCATGTCACTAATATGCTGTTGATCATCATCATAATAACCGTATCGCCCTTACCATAACCACACTCACGCTCATTATTCTAACGACGCCCCCATCATCATTTTCATATTGACCTTATCAACATATAATAACCACCATTATCATCAGTAGCATCATCACTGCCACTATCATCATCAGCAGCACCATTATTTACCCTCATTATCACCTCACTAAAGCATCGGCATCACAATCGTCACCCTCTCTACCATAACCACTGCTACCACCACGATGCCCACCATTAGCACTGCCAACATCCTCACCATCCCCACCATCACCACCATGCTCATCATTCCCACCATCACCACCACCATCCTCACCCTCCCCACCATTAGCACTGCCACTATCCCCCATTGCCACCATCCTCACCATTTTCACCCTCAACAAAACATCACCACACGTTACGTACTATTGGCAATCAATTTCCCTTGGTCTTTGTTCTCGTTGTTGTAAGTGGAGATCGCGCCACAGACGGAAATGCGGGCGTGGTCAGCCATGTGTCGGAGGGCGTGGAGAGTGAAGTCGCCGCCCACCTGAGGAGAACATGAGGGGAGAGTGAGTTATCAGTAGTTATTTATGAGGAGGATTATGCCTTTGAGGAGAATATGAGACGAATATGAGAGACGATGAAAGTGTGGGGTGTGTGAGTGATTAACATTGAAGTGAATATGATGTGAAAATGAGCCATTAATAGACAAAGTCAATTAATTAGAATATGGGTGATGCTGAATGAGATGACAGTGATTTACTAGCGGATTATAAGGATTATGAAATTGCATTTGACAAAAGGCACCGATTTAAACGTGATTTTTTAGTTATCGTAACAATAACCTTATGGCCATCCACTGGAAAAATTAACTTATCAAAAGAGCTATATAAATTCTTAAATCTATAAAAAATAAAGAATAAGCATTCATGATTAGGACCTATCATGGCACTTCCCCCCTCTTTCTCCCTTTCTTTCTCTCTCTCTCTCTCTCTCTCTCCTCTCTCTCTCTCTCTCTCTCTCTCTCTCTCTCTCTCTCTCTCTCTCTCTTCCTCTCTCTCTCTCTCTCTCTTTCAGTCTCCCCTCTCTCTCTCCCTCCCTCTCTCTCTCTCTCTCTCTCTCTCTCTCTCTCTTTCTCTTTCTCTTTCTCCCTCTCTCTCTCTCTCTCTCTCTCTCTCTCTCTCTCTCTCTCTCTCTCTCTCTCTCTCTCTCTCTCTCTCTCTCTCTCTCTCTCTCTCTCCCTTTCTCTTTCTCTTTCTCTTCCTCTCTCTTCCTCTTCCTCTCTCTCTCTCCCACTCTCTCTCTTTCCACCTTTCTATTATCATCTCTCTCCTTTACCCCTTTTTCTCCTACTCTCCTGACCTTTTCCATCTTACCCTCTCCCCTATCTCCCTCCCACCCCCTACCTCTTCCCTTCCCCTACCTCCTCCCCTCCGACCTTTTCCCCTCTCGCACCTCTTCCTTTCCCTCCTGTCCCTCCCCTCCACTCTCCTTCATTCATCCACTCACGTCCACATCCACCCATGTCCACAGCCAGCCACGCCGACACTTAACTACGCCCACAAACACCCTCTCATCCATCCACCCACGATCACATTCACTACGCCCACAGCCACCCTTTCATCCATCCACCCACGCCCACATTTACTACGCCCAAAGCCACCCT